TATTGAATTAAAAACTCAAACATTTTATTAAATTAAAAATATGTGTTACCATTTAAAAAAACAAAGTTGACACCCTTACCAGGCATAAGGGATGAACTTAAAAAGTATTACATAGTTAATAATTCAAGAATTATGTGTAACTAAAGATAATAATAAAAAAACATTTTTAAATTATTATTATTCTATAAGTAATTGAGTGGGTTATGATAAAAAAATCACTCTGTATAATAAACAAATTAAATATTTAATTTTTATAAAAATATATAATATTTAAATCATAAGGTAAATATGGGAAATTTTATTCGAAGAACATTGAGAGAATAAGAAATAACACTTCAATGCAAAGAAGAAAATTGTTCGAAGCGGGTAAAAAAAGAATCAAATCGAGTGCTTTACTTAAATTTAGTGGACCCAATAGAGATAACGGTTTAGTGGAACCCTTAGATAATATTCCATCTGAAAAAGAGCTTCGTGAGAAGATGAGTAATTTTTTGGTAAAATTAAACGAAGTTGATGTAAAAAAACTAGAATTTTCTACAAGGGATCAACACCACAACCAAGATTGGTACATAGAAAGAAAAAAAAGACTTACTGCATCAAATTTTGGAGATATTTGTAAAATGCGTGTCAATACAAGTTGTCACAAAAAAGTGTACAGTCTTTTATATGGTCCTCGTGTCACATCGAAAGAAATGTCTTACGGAATTGAAATGGAGCATCAGGCTAGAACTCTTTTTGTGCAGCTTTAAAAGCATGTCAAGCAAAGGGATTATTTGTTGATAAGGAGTACGCTTTTTTGGCAGCAAGTCCTGGTAGTACTATTTATAATTTTCATTATAACATAAACTAAAGAATTTTTCATTTTATTTAGATAGCCTGATTGAAAATACAGCTATAATAGAAATTAAATGCCCATATGTAGCTAGGTCCACAGAAAATGCAATTGAAGCTTTCCAACAAAAATTAGTTAAATATTTTATTTTACTTACTATTTATTTTACTACAAACATGTTTATCATTTTCAGTTACCATATTGTGTGATTAAAAATAATAAAATTGAACTAAAAAAAGAGCATAAATATTATTAATATATACGCCAATTTGGATAAACGTCCAAGTAATTAAATATGACCATGACTTTTGGATTACAAAAATGGAGGAAAAATTAAAAATGTGAATATTTTAAAATTTATTACTTAAAAGGGAATGTCATAAATAACTGAATGACGTTTTATATTTTACTTGGAGTGTCTTTTGCCTGAAATAGTTTGTCCTTTGTATGGAAAACGTTTAGAACTAACGGACATAAGAGAGCCAGAACACATACAAGAAGCAATAATAATAATTAACCCTTCCTAGAGATGTTAGAGGTAACTTATCCTATTAAAACCTCCTATCGGCTATAAGAACTCAGTTATCAATGTGTACATTATTTTTATTGCAGTACATTAGTATGTTAGTTAATTAACTATTTTAATAACTATATTTACTACTTGAACAATATCAAGAATCAATTTATACGATTTAAAAAGAGTACTAATTTCAAAATACAGAGTAAATCAATTATCTAATTAGTTGTTATTTGTTTGAATTAATTTGACATTTATCACTGTTCTTAAACTAAAATCATAGATTTAAATTCAAAACTTATTTTTTAGTATGTTAAATATTCTTAAAATTTCACTATATTACCAAAACCATATTAAATTTTATTTTGATAAATTAAACCATAAAAATTCAAATCACAGTTATTGCTTTTAAAATGGTACAATTTTTAATTTTTTAATGCTGTACAAGATACAAAAAAATTAATTTAATACTTAATCGGTCAATAATAGATATAATATTATTTCTTCTTCTTCAGTATTCAATCCTGAGATTGGTTTGTAGCATATTATTTACATTTCAATATTATTTTGTATTAAAATAAAAAAATAACAAGGTCAAGTTAAAAATTACACTTTTAAAGAGAATTTAATCAACTATACAGAAATATTTACAAAATTAGTTATTAATAAAGTAAAAAATTTAATTTTCAATGGCAAATAATACATTGTATTACTAATATTTTTACATTAAAATTTAACCTTAAAATTTGCTAGAACTTTCCTACAATTATTACATTACATAAAATATTTTATGTGAGTATTTTGTAAAAAAGCACTTTCTTCGTTATTTAAGCTAGTAAGCAGTTCAATTTTTAGTATTCATAAAAACGCTCATAACAATATTGACACATAAGCATAGGGTATTTTAATAAAAAAAAACTAACTAAAATATGTGTAAATCAAAATATAATAATTTTTAACAACATTGTTTTTGATTTGGGAAAGATCCATGTAGATTAAATACTGTAGATATATTATAATATATCTACAGTATTTAAATATATATAATTAACCCACCCTCACCATAATATATGTTGGGATATATTTTATATTGGAAATTTCTGGAAGTTTTTGGAAGTCCGTGGCGGACGGTCCGTCTTTTAGGCCATTAAAATTTAATTTTAATTTTTATAATTTAATGAAATAATTTTTATGATTACTGTGTATACATTACAAACTTGGCATAAATACCATGATAAGAAATTAGATAAGGCAATTATTACTTATCACTCTCATTCAAAAGTATATTGAAAAGATAGCGTTTTCTTCTGTCCTTTTCTCA